ATAATTCATACCTATCATAATCCATGCGGAAGTCACGACGCGACCACTGGCCCAGGTTTCTCGGATAGCGTTGCGTAGCATTTTCGTGTGAACTCTGATATAACAAACGAGGCACCATATAGTTAAATATAAACCAAGATGGAAACTACCACATAATAGATAAGTCCCTAAGTTTAAGTGAGAAAATGAGAAAACATAAAAAACGTAGACGCAATAATATCACCATAGTCGAGATCGATACTTGCTTCTCGTCTATAAAATGCGCTTCATCTCAGAAGGTCATGTATTAATGTAAAGGTGTGTAACTTTAGATAGGAGTGGTCAACAAATGTGGGAATAGTTTCTGAATACCAAATCTCAATCAAATAAACAACACCATGCTAGCTCGGATTGAACTGAAGAATGTAACCACTCCCACGTGCATTTTTTTTTAGTATATGTACGTACTGAGTGTACTTCATAAAAGTTTGGCTGTGGTGAGAAGAAGCCCATACATACTCGAGTGATGAAATGTACAAATGTATTCTTGCCTATATCTGAATTTGAATATAGCAACGAGTACGTGTATACGTTTCTACTCCATTCATATACACCGACACTTCACCGACAACAAGGTGTCGCAGCACGTACCTAGAGCTATCTCGGTATCAAATACCAACTATGTACACAACTTGTCAACCTGTGGAATAGGCTATAGCCACTGAGAACACCTGCAGTTTAATAAAACAGTAGTGTTCGATAACTTCGGTTTGTGTATACAGGAGGGGAGGTAGAGAGATTTTTTTAACGTGATATTGACACTGGCGGGACACGACAGGGGACACAGCCCACAATGACATCAAATCGAGTCATCACTTTGTATTGGCCGCTGTCAGACGCAGTCACACTCAGACGCGCAACAACATGAACAAGGTCATACATATGTACATAGATATACACGGTACTTACTTCTGTTGAAATATGTGCTATAAACATATGTATATATATATATGTAATAATATGTGTACATGTGCTATATGCACATGTGCTATATGTAGCTTCGTTCTATAGTACATCTTATACATATGACAATTAGAGAGTGAGTGTCCGTACTTGTACAACAACATACAATTCAAACCTGAAACTGATACGAAAATAGTAGAAGATCTATAAGCGCACGCTTCTCCTAAGTGTGCTCTGATAGAGATAGACGCCTTCACGAGCAATATTGAAGACACTGGCGGCCTAATACTGTACCGTGTCAGGGGCGTAGGGTGTGCATACATTTCATGTTAGTCATTGATAACACGTGCGACAAGAGGCAATCACATCGGTTTTATTGGGATTGTCAATTGATAACATGTGCAGAGGCAATCATATCGGTTTATTGTGATTGTCAATCGATATTCGTTACACTGGCCCATAGCAGACAAGTACCTTGCACATGTGTGTTCTAGAGATAGACATCCCTTATCAATGTTGGACATGCTGTATAGCTGGTATAGTGTAGTGCGGAGGTATAGAGTATAACCACGGTACACAACCGGTAAGATGTAAAGTTATGTACGTTGTATCATAATCCGTGACTAGGTTTGTATTGGTATCTGTATATACTTATATGGGCCTATACCGGTGTATTAACATACGCAGACAGGCAGTGTGCTGCTTGTGTATTAACTTATAAGGTCTGATCTAGTTCGCCCTCGAGGTTCGAATCGTATACTAGACATAGACAAACCACGTTCAATGACATCATTGAGAATCTCAAATAAAGTTACGTTTGTTTATCATAGTTATGCACGGTCGTACATCTCACCGTTAACAACATTTTTAAGCTCTTAAGACACATATTCATCTGAGAACCCAAACCCACTGCAAATCCTGAACATGCTTAGACATTTTACTAACAATCGGACAGTATGTATATATACGTTTAGTATTCTACGATCACTACCGTTGCCACAGCCGATACTGGTGCATTTTACTCGCTCACGTACGATAAGTAGGTCCCTTTCATATGTGTATGGCATATGTATACCTAGTCGCGTAATTTTCCTTTGCCTTTGCACCGCGACCGAATCTCATGGTTTGTTTGACCGCATTTGTGTATTACGCATGGGCTTCTTGATAGAAGTGAATTGAGTGGCAACCACCTATGCCCTTAGCTCGGGTAACTATGGTAGCAGGAAACACCACACTTAGTACAATCTAGATTCTTGTCCAATTGAGTCGTTTAACAAATACGCCGTACAGATGTAAAGGTATACAGGGGTTTAACCGAGTCAATATATGCTTCACTGCAATGCATAAGTACCTCATACAATGTATGTATGTATGTATATGTTTAAATATATGTAGCCTAGACGTGATACCCTCGGCCATCGGGTAATAAACCTAGAAGCTGGTTCATATTAATACGTTGATATACCGATTAAATAAGTACATGCGACTGGACAAGACGTGATAAACCTGTGAGCTGGTATGGATGTAAGTATACATTTAACTATGTATGTATGAATATATGTATGTATGTATATATATATATATATATATCTGTGTGTGTGTGTGTGTGTACACGTGTGTGCATTTGTGTGTGCGTGTGTGTGTGTCTAAATATGTATACATATATATGTATATGTATATATATGTAAATGTATATGTATAGATTT